AGTAGTTTTACCTAAATTGTTCTTCTCATTATATTAGTCTTAAAATTGTGCTAGATTGAACAAAAAAGCTGAACAACGACCTCGTTCTTATACGGAGATTCTCAATATACCTTTTATTCGAAATCTACCTCAAGAACCAACAAATGATGAATGTATTTTTATTAATAATATCATTCAGTTTAGTCATGAATTTGGTAGTTGAAATTAATGTATCGGTATTGTGATATCAGCGCAACAAAGTTCTGATTGAGTCGCATAGAATCTGAGTCTATATGTGTTCAATAACAAAAAATCAAACAAATTTGCTGTCAATTAATGCTAAATGGATATTGTTCAGGATTTACAGTATGTGTATATACGTAATATACTGTCTTTTTCTCTACGAACCATACTGTATGGTTCATTTGTTTTTTTGTGTGCTCTGTACGTGTATATCTAATACATATATGAATTTGTTCAGTCGCATAACATTTGTTACTAATTTGCTCTATTGTTGTTATCTAATGTAAATGTAGGCAACTATCTTTTCTTATGTGAATGTCGGTGCTCTCTTGTTCGAATGAATTTATTTTACAATAAATAGGTAGGCTAGAGACGGAAAACATCTAGGTTAATAGAGTACGCAAGGCGCCAATAGTAGGCATGGGGAACGAAAATGACGACCGTTAACAGCCAAATATGTCGATTGTTTCTATGTACACACGACAAGGAAATCGAAGAAAACTCTGGGCATAGTTGTTGAGTGGAGAAAGAACATTCATATAACACGACTACAGCCACAGATAATGCAAGATGCTTGCTATCTGTAGAGAATGCATACATATGAAGAAAAAAAAGAAATAAATATTTCTTCCTCGATTATTATGAAAATTTAATTGATCACCTTACAGTCTTTGAACATCCACGGAATTTTTTCTGATAAGATTGAATGATAGATCATGTTATTGTAAATTTTCTAATTTATGATCGGAATCATAAACGTTAGTTTTAATTTAATCGAGAGTGAGTGTGGGTGTGCTTGTGCGTGTGGATGCCTTCTTTGAACCCACACCCACACCCAACGACATTCTGATATTTGATGTTATTGAAACCGTGAACATTATTCAAGAGAATTATATATGCTAAAGATTTTTTTCCTATGAATTTGGTCTACATATCATGTTACAAGTCGTCTTAAAGTAAAGTAACCAGAAAAAAAAACTAGATTTTTATTGATTAACAAGAATAAAGAGTTAAGTTAGATTTTGTGACAGCAACATACATTTTATGTACTTATTAAAAAAAAAAATTGTCGATCACTCGCAAAATTAAATCATGAAAAAAAAATGAAAACATAGTAAAATCTTGCTTTTGTGAACACCATCAGAACGATTAAATATTTTTCACTATGCGAATTTGTTCATTATAGCGAGTTGATGTTTTTTTTCTGTGAAATAAAGAAAACATTTTCCAATATCAGCTTTCATATTATTCTTAGATAAAGGTTTGCGTATTTATTCTCTTATTCATTTGATTCCAGCTAAATAATTGAAATTGAAAAAGTTTTCAATCAAAATAGAAACTTTACTGTACTTTGAAAATCAAGGGGGAAAGTGCAGGCACCCAGCACCCAGCACCCAGCACCTAGCACCCAGCACCCAGCATCTGCTCAGCACGTATACCGCATTCCACAGTGAGCATCTACGGTACCTACGGCACTTTCAGCATCTTCAACAACTATTCTATTGTCTTAAATACTTAAGATAATGAAACAATGTTTGCAGGTGCTGAAGGTGCCGTAGGTGCTCATAGTGAAATGCAGTATAGGTGCTGAACAGGTGCTGTAGGTGCTGGCAGGTGCTGTAGGTGCTGTAGGTGCTGGTAGGTGCTGGTAGGTGCCGGTAGGTACTGGTAGGTACTGGTAGGTGCTGGTAGGTACTGGTAGGTGCTGGTAGGTGCTGTTAGGTGCTGATAGGTGCTGTAGGTGCTGAGCAGGTGCTGGGTGCTAGGCGTCTGCACTTACCCCCTTGTTGAAAATGCTCTAATGTTTTTCTCTTTTGCCTATTAAATTAATATAGATTGCAGTTAATTTAGATTTTAAGTTGATGATTACTATAGTTTTCATTTATAAAGTAATTGAGTGTCGAGATATAGCTCTTTTCGTCATAAGTTGAAAAGTTGAATCAATATGAAATGTGCTCACGCAAAGTGTATAAAAGATAAGTGAAAGTGGAAAAAAAGAGTTCAAAGAAACATCTTATATATATTTACGTTAGAGATATTGCAATTGGAAGACAGAAAGCAAAAATTGTTTACTGTCCAGTATAGAAAAGGTGTTCATGTTCGAGGAACGTATTTTTAACAAGATTCTTTTTCGATATAGAACAACAGTGGAAGCGTTTTTGCTTTTTTATAGAATGAAATTAACGTGGAAAAAATATGAACCAATGTTACTTGAAAGAAAAATTGACAGTTTCAAATTTTTTTCCAAAAGAAAGTCACGACTGCATCACTATTCACTGTCAAAAAAGGTTTTGTATGAAGTACGTATCTGTTCTAAAAAACCTATTCAGTTTAAGAACAAAGTAACATACGCCACAGAGGGCTGTTCCTCGCCATGAAAGAACAATACATGATCTATATTTAAAGAAGCCTTTAATGGCACCACAAACGGATGTTAAATGTAACACTCAGTTTGAAAATGAATCGAACATGTTGTAGAACAGTTTTTTTCAATTATTCATTTAATTAAACCGCACACAGATGATTAAAGACCTCTATTTTTTGACGCTTAATATATTTTTTTAATAGCGCTTCTTAGATGAATCAACAATTTCATTGTATAAACTTTTCTAAATTAACATGTTCCGTTATTATATCAGATATTTGTTCTTTTTCACTCATAAAAAAAAGAATCTTCCCTTTATCTTTATTTTCCAAAAAATAAATGATTTATTTATGTTTGTTTTATAAAAAAAAGGTTTAATTTATCTTTAGTTTTTAAAGAATAAAGATTTTTATCATTTATTAATCTTTATTTTATAAATTTAAATAAAATATTTATCTTTATTTTATGAGCATAAATATAAAGTAACACCTCTATTATGCATACGTTTTGCATTGCTCATGATATTCATAGTTGGTTAATCACAAATAGTGTTAAAAAACATTCTTAAAAATCTTTCACTCTTCACTTTGTTCAGTTCTTCATCTTGTCATAAATGCACCAACTTGTATTTTTTTTCTCTTTCTTCTTGTATCATCATATTCTCTCAACTACTATAATTGCTTACATCATTCTTTTGTACTAAATATATCAACTCTTCTACATATTTGGGAGGATGGTTTTTTCCCTTGATCCCTTTCTCTCTGTCATTTTATGCACAATATGAAAACGTCATTAAAATCATTCTCTTTCTTTCTTTCTTTATACTTGGTGTTCTTTACCTATTTTTCTCTGTGTTGTGTGTAGATATAAATAGGATTTAACTATGAATGATTATGATTATTATTTTTTACTCGTTAAATAGAATTAAATCTCTTAGTCAATAAGTAAGTAAAAAATGAACTTCATACCCACGGAAAAAAATTTGGTATAAAAATGCGTTTCAACGTAGATTTTTAGGAAAAAAGGCTATTTTTGCGTTTCTTGGCATCTTTTTGCAAGTTCAGCGCGTTTCAACGCATCGATCTTTATTTCCAACGCGTTTAAATGTATCCTTTTTATTTTGAACGTGTTTTTTCAAATTAAAGCGAAACTTAAAAACATTGTTCGAAGACGTTTAGTTTTATGCGTTTGGGTGGATTTGTTTGTTATGCATTAAAATACGTTTTTTTAAGCCATCTTTTGTCGAAAAACGAGTTCTTTTCAAAACGTGATACAATATTGTTCTTCGTTATTAGGAACAAAAATTAGTTGATCGTCGTTATTAGCGAAAATGCCCCTAATAACGACGAACACAGTACCTTATAATAGGGTGCTAATTCCTCCTTCACTGTATAACGGACAGAGGCTGCAAACACAACATTCGCAAGAGCAAGATCTAAGGATTATCTGTACATAAAAACATTTTTAATCGAATGTAAAATGATCATGAACCACGTCAAACAAAACAAGTGAAAATTAACTCGTCTTTAATGGCGACACTGACTGTATGTGAATGTAGATGAGAGTGAGAGTATGGGTACAAGAGGGAACAAGACACAACGATGTACCTGCCACATCCTCTGGCGCATTTAACAACTCTCCGGTCAATAGTTGTGAAGTTTGCGTTCACTTCAAGGATTGATTCAACAGATACTTGTGTATCCTCTGTAGCGTCATAATTAGCACGATTTATTTGTATAATAGACTCAACCATAAACTGATAATGTGCCGATCGAGTCATTTAAAGCGTAGTCTATTGATCATTTAAATCCTTCTATTGTTGAAGACAATTTTAAGGGTCAATTTTGAAGTTTAACGTTGGAATTTGCGATGCGTCCTTTGAAAGTACTGTGTCATATATTTAAGCAAAGTCTTTTACGACTCGATACTTTCATAGTTGCGAATCAACCTAATATCTGTACGAGAGAGAATTTTCAAGTACTGAAAAATGAACGTCATTCAAACAGATCGATTTAAGAAGGTAGTATTTTTCCAGCGGCAATTTTAGGTAATCTTTTAAGGGCTACAGACTAGCTCATTTCGTTTATCGTTTTCGAGCATTGAAGGAGTGGAAAATTTGAAAAGTAGTAACAAATCGATTTTCAGAAAACATGCCATGTTGGTTCCTGTTATCAACTATTAAATACTTTGTATTCGAATGTTTCAAGTTAAAATATTCGTTTCGGTTATTAGAGATAATTTAACGGAAAATCTTTTGAGGTCAAATATAGATTTTAACGATGAGAGATAACCCGGAAACTCGAAATACAAAAGGAAATATTCTTTAGGCCGCATGAGTTAGAATGTCGATGTACATTGCTCTTTAGTAAAATAAAAAGAAAGTAACATTCTTTTAGAACAGTATAATAAAAAAATGTCGTGTCCTTTGAACAATATGGCTTTCTCCATGAAGCCATCCACTCGTCCCGATCCATCGATTGGTACATTATTTAGTCTTTACGATGAAAATTTTACATGGACTGAACAGCACATCCCACCATCTGAACTAAATCAATGGCGAAAAGAAGGTGATCTCCTCATTGATGAATTTTATAATTCATATGGCAAAGAACTTGACAATGGTATGGATATGTATAATTTTATTTAGATACATCAACCTGATTTAGTTCGATTGATTCAAAAACGACCCTCATGGTTTAATAGGGAACAAATTCAAGAAGGTCAACTAGTCTTGTTGAAGCATACACCACAAACTCTTGTAGCACTACTGTATCATACACTATTGGTCGGTTACAGCTTTCAACAATTCAATTATGTGCTGAATAAAACTCAATATCTCTCTTCGTCGAATCTGCGGACAACTTATCGTCGATTGGTTGAAACTGTTCAAATGATAGCCAGCGCTTGTTTGGGCGATGTGGATAATTTCGATCAAACATTTTCAGACGTTGTACGAGTTAGGTTTTTGCATGGGTTCATTCGCTTTAAGCTTAAAAAATATTCGGCGCATGATATACCAATCAATCAAGAAGATTTACTTGCCACGCTATTGGGTTTTACTTTTGTTACATTACGTTGTATCGAAAATCGAATGGGTATTTGTTTATCAACAAAAGAAAAAGAGTCATATTTACATTTGTGGCGGTACATAGGATGGATCATTGGAATTGAAGATAAATATTTAGACTATGTTCACTCGTTTGCAACAAGTCGAACTATATACGAATCAATTTTTTACCATCATTGTTTTTCAGGAATAACCTCCAAACATTTAGCCCACCACACATTAATGGCTGCTTATTTATTTCTTCCCGAGCCAATGTCATATAAGTTTAACATTGAACTAGCGCAACGAATATTGGGGACGGATTGGTCTCAAGCGTTAGATCTTCATCAACCTACTCTTGTGGATCAAATCCACATATTAGCTGTAACTCTACTTTTAAAGTACTTCAAATTAAGCAGTTGGATATGCACGCGAAACGTTCCACTTCTATCCAAACTAATCATCGAACTTAATAAGAGACATATAAAATATCTTATTCGAACAGAGTTTGGTAACCAAACGAACAATTATGCATTAAAATTGGCGCATGATCCATCGGTAACAAGAATCACATTACTTAAAGATTGTTCATGTGGCTACTATGATAAATACAATAACTACAAAGCAACGAATGATCTTGGCATATTTCGAAAGACAGTGAGCTATTCGTTCATGGCTTGGAAACAAGTTTTGTTTTATTTTTTGACTGCATACGGATGTTGGATGTTGAAATCATGGCAGGTGTAACTCTAGACTATGTTAATCGTCGCTTCGTGTCAATTGATATTGTTAACATCTTATTTTTTCTTGAAAATTCAGAATAAAAAAAATGTACTCATAAAAAAATATTTGTTTTGATCGATCCGATCGAATGCTATCAACATAGACATGGATGTAGGTGTATGGGTTTCGGTGTGCCTCTCGTTGTAACTGAACGGAAGGCCGAAACCCACACCCTCACGCAGCTGTATTCATACCGTGATACATACAACCTCATGCGTTGACTCTCAAGATCGTATTAATGGATCTGCATCGGAAAAATTCTCTCCGTTCTGCTTGTTTAATATCACCTTTTCGGATACGGTACAATATTTAACCCCTTGAGGAGAGAAGTACCGTGGGTGTAGGTGTGGGGTGTGAATGCTGGTGTGGGTAATCTATTCATCCATACAAACATCCACCCTGTTATCATCAACTTAGTCATTAAAAAAGATTAGAAAACTTTTTTTTTATGAAAATAGCCTAGTGTATTACATTGAATTATGGATCGAATGAATCAATAACAAGTCGTGATTGATATAGATTATTATGTACGTTTTTGAAGTTTTCCTGCAATTGATTAAGAACATTGTCTGGAGCTAATTCAAAACGTCTATCTTTACGACAGAAATGAAGATTAAACGTGAATTGACGAAGTGATGGTAGATACAAAGAGATTTTAGATGCAAGCCAGTCATAGTTAACAAGAGGTGGTATACTTAACGATAGTTCATCCACTCGATGAATAGTAAGTTGTTCAAGATTGGGTAAACATGCGAAAAAAACACCAATAACATGCTCATTTCTTGGCCACATTTTAAATGGGAATTTTATATTCAATCTTTTAAGATTCATGTATGACTGACTATGTGAAAATGTATTGGTTGAGAAAGATGTTTCCAAATCAAGAAAATATAAATTTGGGCATGCCAATAGAATGGCTTGATAAATAAATAAATCAATAAACCCAACTTTTAAAATACGAATTGATGGTGATTGTGTCCATCCTTCACTTGTATATATTGGTTCCACACCGACTAGATGACAAGATCTCAAATTACGAAAATGATTAGAAAAAATTTTTCTAATAAAATCAGGCATGTAATATGTTAGCGCTTCGCAGTTTACTGATAGATATTCTAAATAAGGTACAATAGAAGTATCAAACTGTGAAATGAGTTCAGCAGTTGGGTTCACCAAACTCAGCCGACGTAATTCTATAAAATGAATGAGATTGACATTCATCGATTGAGTAATTGTCAATGTATAAATGTAGGGAGCCATAACTTGAAGATAATTTTGTTCAATATGTTCTTTTGAAGAAATATTAAGTGAAAGATACTTGACAGTTTGTAGTAATGTATTGAAACGATGATTAAGATTATAAAAAGCATTATATAGATCATGAGCATCAAAATACTTAAACATCTTCATAATTAATTCATTTGGTAAATACTCGAATTTGAATAGATATTTTGCCATATTTGACAAAAATCAATCTATAAGTAAAGAATTCATTTTGATCATAGTTCTAATTGATTCAAATAAAGATAGCTTTTTTTCTATCGACAAAGATGAGTTCTAGTTCTTTGTTCATTAATTATCTTCGACAATTAGCATTTGAAAGATGACTGTATTTCACATAGATACTATAATCAATAATCATATTATGGAGGCAAGAAGAACGATTTTTTTTTCGATTCCAATCTAATGATAGAGTGGAAAACAAGAATGTATTAATATTCAGACTATGAATACTGAGTGACAAAATGTATGTTGTACTATTCTCAAGTAAAATCAATCTATTATCAATAAAACATATTTATCGTTGATTATGAAAAATAACTGATCAATACAAAAATTATTAGTGGAATTAGTTAGCAAATATAAGTTTCGAATACTTCATTTTTTATGTTCATCTAAAAATAAAAGAAACACTCAAAATAACTTATATACGATTAATTCAAATGATATTTTAAATTTTCACTTTAAAAATTTTCCAAAAAACAAGTAATCAGATTTCCTTTATTAAAAGTGTTGAATTTGTTAATGATTGACTGATTAGTTCATCATTTTTATTCAATTCTCTTGATGTTTGCAAATAAAAATTTCTTATTGTATTCAATATTTTATTTGAGTTTTCATCGATTAATGATGAAGATGATGATAAATTAGGTATCATAATAAAATCATATTTATCAAGCCATGATTCATCTTTACCAACAGAGCATGGTATGATAATTCACATGGTAACAAACGAATACAAGATTGTTTTGAATCATTTTGTTTTATTTTATGATTACTTCATCTAGGCTCATAGAAAAATTGTGATGAAAAACAATTTTTAACCATCATATTTTCACATAATTGACATGATTTAATCATATGATAATATTAATTCTAAATCAAAACACAATATTGTCCAATGTATATTTGTATTTGTTGATGTATATGTATGTAAAAATATCAATATGAATAGAAAAACATTTATCATACATTAGTCGAAATAATACATCAAATACATGATCTGTTAATGCAAGATTTTGATTTGATAATTGAGCGGGAAATTGTATATAATTATTTGCTGAAATAAGATCACGTATACGTAATACAGTTGATTTTAAATCACGATCCTATTTATAAAAAAAATTATTCCTTTATTTTTTGAGAGATTTATCATATCATAAGAGCAGTAATATAACTTTGTTTAATACATTTTTTGGTTGAATCAATAACAAATTGTTTGAAAATATTGACAAATAGATGCTGCCATGTACTGTTATTCTTTTTAAGATGAAAGATTGTCTTTCTTCTTGTTTTATTCTACTATGAGTAATGTACTATGGAGTAGATATCACCTAGCAAATCATAATCATAAGAGTGACACCTAGGATTTACACTATAGAGGGATCATGAGACATTGCTAAATTATATATAAAATAATTTACGAAACTTTGAAAAAAGATATGAATTATATGATATAAGCCTGTTGGTTGTTGTTCATTCGATTATAATCGACGAGTTGGTAATGAATAATTAAATTTTTATATAGATGTTTTCTAGCAATTCAATGCCATTTAGTGTACCCGTGACGAAGTATTGACAAAGCAAATACGTGATTTAAATAAATTTAATAAACTTTTTCGCGCAATAGAAATGCTTCCCATATTAAAAGACCCTTTCATAAGAGAAGATTCTCCGTAATTGATTAATTTCTACGAAGAAATTCGAATTTAAATTAATATATTTCTAGCATAATATGTGTAGTTTTCAAATTTTTGGAATAAAAATGTTTATATGACTCTTTTCAGTATTATTTCTTGACTTTTACGACTTCAATAATTATTTTCTAAATCCTAAAAATCGTTTTGATTTTTATTTTGAAAAACACATTTAATTAAAGTTATAAAAATAAATGCAACATCAATATAACGCAGTAGTCACTTTACACTCAGTATCATACCGCCTGAACTAAACAAAAAGACTTTTCAAAAAGCAAGTTCAATTTAGTATTCAATATTGTCTTTGCTTTTTCTAATATTTGTCATAGAGAAATAAATATAATGACAGAGTTTTCCGTCTGCCTTTATTAGTCCTAGTAATTATATATCGATAACTTGATAAACTGGTTGTATTTAATTCATTAGAAAAATGTGAACGTGGTCCTAAATGTCTAAATAAGTATGGGTAATTGAGATATTCTATGTATTGAATCATTCTTAGAATTACTCATTCATATTCTAAATATTCCAAAGTACTAGTTTAATAGTACTTTGACTTTTAGTTTCGTTTGTACATTGGCTTTTGAATGATCATAATACATGCACAGACCGTGTGCCTTGTTTCTCTTGCGTTCTCTCCTATAGTCATAGTTGTCCATTGTGATGTGACAAAAGTGACATCATTTCTGAAAAAAAGAGAAAAAAATAACCTGATCAGAGCATTATATAATCGTCTGTTATTTTTATTACAGAGTATGCATATAACCATTCATATATAAGAAAATAATGTTTTGATCTTTTACTGTGAAATGGCTTGTGGATGCTTATATTGTGAAAATACAACTCTTGACCTTATATTTTGCACAACCATCGTTCTTATCACAAACCCATTCATCATATGGGGTTCAATAACTTCTGGATTGTATGCGCACGAACGACTAGAAAGAATCCCTTACACAAATACAACCTGCCTATTGGATAGATATACTTACAAAGTATATGATTGTCGCATTTGCATTGAATACATATGTACTTATGCTTCATGTTACAGTGAAAACTTTAAGGTGTCATATTATATTTGAAATGGATCGTACATAACCAACGACTTTAAAATTGATAAAAGTGGGAAACAACATGAGCAACGCAGGATAGTAGCTCGTGATCTTCTTTCATCATTAAAATATGGCTCCTTTTGTTTTGCTGTTTAGATCGGTGCATATTATCCGTGTTTTTATCACAAAATCAAAGTTAAATTAGTTCAATGGAAAAAACCTACAGGAAACTTTTACTTATTTCAATTCTGCACTGCTTTTGGTACAAGCGTTTTCTTCATTCTCATATGGATAAGTATTTTTATCGGTGACGCACGTCGTAAGAAAAAATTGATTCACTCAAATGGCCCAGAATCTTCGGTACATTCGCACGGTGCAAGTTACAAAATGCAAATACAAACAAACGTACAACCATATATAACGATCGTTTCAGTTCAAAAGAGTATGGCCTGGAAAGATCGTGATTCCTGTTATAGGCCTATACTTTTCAAAAACTTCGATTCGTGCAGATTATTACTTATAATAAATTTTTGTTCATTTTTACTAAGACACTTGTCCTTCTTTTTCGATTTTGATTTGTCCTTTCATAAACACATCTCCTTCAGGAAACCTGAGATCTAGTGATAGTGTGGTTGTTGCTCAGTTAGACAAAACTTTTAACATAACGCATTGAAACTTCATTAAAACAGTATTTTAATGCTTGGTTACTGTTTAAGCACCGCTCTGACGATTTCTCTCGCGCCTTCGAGATTCTGAAACACGTTAAAAAGCGTAAAACTTCTATCAAATTAGATGTTTTTACCCGTTTGCAACATGAATTTCACGAGTTTTACCGCGTTCAAAGATTAAAACATGTATTACTGTGGAGAAATCCACTCTGGACACATTTTTATCTGAATGGACATAATTATGTTCAATAATCAATCATTATTTCTCGCTTTTTAAGCAACTCAACACGTTTAAAGGCAAAATATGTAATTGATGTAAAGGAGTATATGATTAAAAAGTAATCAAAAACAAATCTACACTAAAACAAAAACGTGACTGTATTTCTGAAGGGTTTCGTAAACAGAGAAAGCGACTGAAGCATGCATACCCATGTATTTTTTCTATTGCAGCTCCTCTATCTAGCAAAAACTGGATCAGCGTAGTCCTGATTAACTAATATTTGCGACCAATCGCATGCATAGTAAACTTTTTTCAATGAGTCAAGAACTAATTTTGTAACATTGTTGAATTAGACAAGTAGTAAAAAATATAAACTTATTATCAAGAAATTGAAATAAAACAATCACGTTTTCGTCAGTATTTTTTGTCTGACCTATGTTGACAATTTCTTTAAAGCTTTCATGAGCCTTCTCTTTACCACTATATAGTGCATCAAATACTCTGATTTTGAATAACTTTGCTCACTATCGCATTGTCATCTTGAGAAGGATATTTCCAAATCTAAAAAAGTTGATCGCAATGATTCAGCCATTCATAAACATGTTCAAATGTATTTTTCATTTTTTTTTCATTAGTTCTCAGTAGTTTCATATTTTCATATCCGTGTTCTTTTAGTTATCTATGCCGCTCGTTTCAGTGATTCAGTCAATCAGTCACTGATTGTTTCTACGTAGCTCTTTCATTTTTATCTATTGTATAACTTGACATATTGTTTTTTTTTTATCACTTATTGCATTTTTCTTCAGTATAGTCTATTAAGAGACGATTTATGCGAGGGTCGAGGATCGCGTCAGTTTATGAGGCACGGTTAAAATTTCCCTTGTTTTGATTTTTCATGCACATTTGAATGTTCTATAGTAAAGATAGCCTAGATCAACTCTTTAGCACGACCTACTTACTATCCAAAAAATAGTAATAATAAATTGTCCCATAAATGTCTATCAGAATTATACTTCAACAAGTTAGAGAATCTTTGCATACAATATACCAAAAAATAGTATAAAGAGAGGATTAAAATGAACTATTGCCAATGCTGTATATCATTTATTTACTGAGACTACAAAGTCCAACATGAGTGGAATAAGTCGAAATTTATGAATTCATAATGATCGACTTTTGATAGTATCTCTACTGCCATTTCTTTAATAAAAAAATATATGTTGTGTAACTTGTAACGTTCGACAAAATGTTCAACAGAAAAAAGAAACATTTTTCGCTGTTCTCATTGCCATGACACGATTGTAAAGCAGAGTAAATGTGA